AAAAGATATACAAGAAAGATCCTCAGATAGGAGTATAATAAAGTTTATCCTACATAATATAAGGAAAGTTCCCTGATTACAAGAATCCATAATTTTGGCACAACTTTAAGAACACTCCATAGTATTACCCAGGCAAATTTTTCCAAGCAACTGCACTAATCCTCTTAGCTTTAAGTGATGACGCACTTCACTAGTAGAAGGATAATGATAGTGCAAGGGGAGGAAGAACTCCTCCTAAATTGTCGCACAACCACTATTTAATCGTGCTTTATGCTTCTTTGTATATAGTGATGCCAGTTGTTTAATTATGGTCATTTAAGGTTGTACTCTGTCATTTAAACAATTGTGCAATCCTTTTTTGTAGTTTATGTGGTTGAGTGTTGAGTTCCTGCTTTTTTGTAGTTCCGGAATTTCTGAACAATTGAAATTGTGTTGCAGGATATCATACAGTCAATGCCCCATGATGCTCATCCAATGGGGGTTCTTGTCAGTGCAATGAGTGCTCTTTCCGTTTTTCATCCTGATGCAAATCCAGCTCTGAGAGTAAGCAACATTTTCAATTTTTCCCACATGAGGAACTGTTTGAGAGATATATCTTCTGTAGTCCAAGTTCCTATGTTTTACCCATATATTGTTGCTTCAGATGTCCCCTGATCTCATTTTGATTCCGTGAAATAAATTTAGCTTCTCTTTTCCAATTAAGGGATACTGCTTTATCATTGTCTTACCACCAAAGGTCCTTTGTAGTTGGCAAGAGGGTGGGTATCTGTTAGAGCGAGCTACTAGTGTTGCTCACCTTCATGGTTGTTAGAATCTGGAAACATATCCCAACTCTTTTTTCTTATTTCGTTGTGAAAATGGAAAAGAAACTATGTACACTCATAGCTCAAGTTGGATAAGTCAAATAGTTCAAATGAAAATCTTAAGGGCAATCTCTAGGGGGAAGGACAAGTATCTCTTACACAAAGTTGAACAGCTATATATCTTTCCTCCCCTCCTTTCCCTCTTTTGGATCACTGCTTAGCTTCTTTTATAAGTTAAAGAAGTCTTTCCTGGAGTACAACATAAATTGCTCCTCGTGTCCTGCTCAGTGGTTCATCTCAAAGAAATATTGTTAAAGGCCCTTCTAAACTCTGTATTTGGTTCATTAAGTAGCCAAGATTCTCAGCTAAGGGTCGAGAGAGAATAGATTGATTCACCTTCCGAAGTAGAGCAATGATAACTCTTGTTCAGTGTTCTCCCCTTATTTGACCTACTTTAATGATTATTTGCCATCAAGCTTTTGGATTGTAACATTATATTTTTGATGATTCTGATCATTTGTATCTTTGTTCACTCAGGGACAGGATATATACAAGTCTAAACAAGTGAGAGATAAACAAATAGTTCGGATCCTTGGCAAGGTTATTTTCCTTTCATTCAAACTTTTCTTTTGATTGCCTAAAAACTTCTAAGAGTTTTGAACTATGATATCACGCTGAAGCTTGATGTATGGGCTTTGTGATCGTTGTCTAAATAAATGTAACGGTACCCAGTGGTAACAAGCATTATTTGTTGTATTTGCAGGCACCTACAATTGCTACAGCTGCTTACTTAAGAATGGCTGGCAGGCCACCTGTCCTTCCATCCAACAATCTCTCTTATGCGGAGAACTTCTTGTACATGCTAGATTCATTGTATGTTCTATTTCTCTACTTTGCGTTATTTTGTATATGAAGTTCTGAGTGATTCCTAAATTGGATAGAAGTAGCAATCCTGGTTCTTATTAGCCATGGCATCATTGTACATACTGTGGCTTATCATAAAAATCAACATGTCTGTGCACTATTTTGAATCTTGTTACATTTGCATCACATTCAGCTTCAATTCTTCATAGCCAGCAAATTAAAAGCTTTTTTACTTAAACTTGCAGAGGTAATAGGTCTTACAAACCCAATCCTCGACTTGCTCGTGTGCTCGATATTCTCTTCATATTACATGCAGAACATGAAATGAATTGCTCTACAGCTGCGGCACGTCATCTTGCTTCAAGGTAGCCATCTTTATTGCACAGACAATAGCACTAAGATTTACTTGACTTATACACCAATGGTTGTGTGCAGTGGAGTTGATGTATACACAGCATTAGCAGGAGCAGTGGGAGCTTTGTATGGCCCTCTCCATGGGGGTGCCAATGAGGTAAAATGTTGCTATAGCAAGTAATGAGTATGTATAGAGGAGCTTCATCTTTTATGAGCTCTCTATCTTTATGTCTCTGAGATAACATTGTTTGGTGTTATATTATGCTTGACAATGATGTTATTACATGGTTTACAGGCTGTGCTGAAGATGCTCAGTGAGATTGGAAGTGTTGAAAATATTCCAGAGTTCCTTGAGGGTGTCAAGAATAGGTGCTTATTTTCTGATAATTATTGTTGTAACATCCAGGATTATCTAATTCATTTTTGACCATTTGAGTTTCCTTGTACCTCTATCCCTTCAGGAAACGGAAGATGTCTGGTTTTGGGCACCGTGTCTACAAAAATTATGATCCCAGAGCAAAAGTCATCAAGACGCTGGCTGATGAAGTATTTTCTATTGTGGGTCGCGATCCTTTAATTGAGGTAAGGTGTCTTTGCTTCTAAAAGGATTGTATTTTTCTTGGTCCAGCTGATGTTCCCAAAGGACACATTCCATTTAAATAATTTTTTCCAGCATTCTAGAAGTAACAGGATATTTAGCATCCATGTTTAAGCTCCTCATGGACTTCATATTTTCTTGAATTTCAGAAGAACCTAAAACATTAAAATTGGTGCTAAAACTAATATAGTGGGGTTCGTTTCAAGAACAGTTGAAACTTTTTTTTTTTCTGGAAAATCTTTTCTAGTTTATGCAAAGGTTTAGGAGAAAAGTCAATTTTTTTCTCAACCAAATACCACTAGAGAATAGTTTTTGATTCAAAAGTTGAAAGCAATTCCGGAAGTGTTCTGCAATAACTGAATTTTCTCTAATAGTGTTTGGCTGCAAAGCTTTTTGAGGAAATTGGAGAAGTTCTTTTGAAAAAAATGTCAACTCATTTTGCAAATAAGCGCAATTATTTCAGCAGTATGGCCAGAAGAAGCAACTTTAAGAAAGCTAACTACTCTCAGTTTGTTGCATTTATGCTTAAAATATAATATGTGCACTGCATACTCAGTGGTTGGTTTTGGCTTGGTCTCCAATAGGGTTATACCCTTGTTGTTTTAGTTCAGTTTCACAAAAAACTGATAAACTGAATTTCAGTTATTTAAGCTATATCACAATTACAACAGTAATAAACCACCTTCCCAGTACGTTCTTCTGTGGTTACCTTTAAACAAACCCACTAAAATCCTTTCTTCTTGGTTCCTCGGTTATTTGAAAGCAGCATCACTTTTTCTTTGTTGTTCAGAAAGCCATCAAGCTTCCTTCCCTACTATTTATGCATCCATATGAAGTCTTTGTTCCTTTCTTCTTCCGGCAATTTTCAAATTAACAAAAGTCAGATCATTTAAGGTAGCTAAAATTATTTCTCTTGGGTTCTCCACTGTTGATTTAACTGGACGATCTCCTTTATTTTTTTAATGTCGGAGATTCAAGCAGATTGGATATTTTGAGCACGTCTCTATCCTACAATGGCATTGAGTGTGCCTGTAAGCACTAGTTACTATGTGGAAGAGGTGGTAGAATCTCATTTCTCTGAAATATGAAATTTATATGTCAAAATTGAGAAAAATGTCTTCACAGAAGATGAGATAGGCTACAAGTATTGTGGTAGGTAACACAGTCATAGAGCATTTGATGCCACCACCCAGATTTATTGTATCTGGCATGCTGGTTAAATCTGTGCAACTATAAATCCTCGCATGAATGTAATGATGGGATATGAACTACTTCCGCTCAATGATCCAATATGGTTCTCACATTTTTTCATACTACGTTCAGGTTGCTGTTGCTCTGGAAAAAGCTGCACTCTCAGATGAGTACTTTGTAAAACGGAAGCTGTATCCAAATGTTGATTTCTACTCTGGTTTAATTTACAGGTAAGCATAAACTCAGATGAATCTTTTCATTATCAAGAATGATAACTCTAATGAATAATATTTTTTTATGAATTAGGGCAATGGGATTTCCAACAGAATTCTTTCCTGTCTTGTTTGCAATTCCTCGGATGGCCGGTTACTTGTCTCATTGGAAAGAGTCCCTTGATGATCCTGATACCAAGATTATGAGACCCGCACAGGTAAAGTCACTGGCTTGATTTTCAATCTTGGTGTACATTTTATGGTAAACTGCTTAGTACTTGGTTGTGCCAATCCAAAATCATTGGATTTTCGAGTCTTCCCTCATTGTGCTCGGCTATGTCGACATCTGAAAGAATACAGAAGATATAAAGCTGCTCCTTTAGAACCTAATGAGTTTTGTTTAGGAACTAAAAAAGGTTTTGGTTACTTTACTGGAGTCTGCTTATATCCCTGAGCGAAGTCCATAGTCTTAAAACTTCCTCCTTTCAGGTGTATACTGGTGTATGGATGCGTCACTATATGCCTCTCAAAGAACGATCACCACATTCCGAAGCAGACAAGCTCGGTCATGTGTCCGTCTCCAATGCCACCAAACGACGATTGGCTGGTTCAGGGGCCTAAGGCTTCCTTCAAGGTTCACTTATATTTAATATAAGAAAAATAAATGATATTTTTTTCTTCCCCATGAGAAGTAAACTTGTCTTGAACATGATTAGATTCTCACACACACAAAGCAGATGTATTCGGATGAATTTTTGTGTCTCCGTTTCCCAAAATAATAAGCTTTTAGTCTTCACAAGTAACAAATTTGCATCCTCCCCTTATTTCCTAGTCCTACAATGATATGGAATGTACCTAATTATAGTAACTTTTAACTTAAACCTTATCCAGCTCAAAAAAGCATTTATACGATTGTTATATATTTCATTCTTTAGGTCTCACTTTTCACTTACTATAATCAATCACAATCAAATATTCATGGAAGATTACAACTATATTGTAGCATGCATACCAGGCGAACTTGTCATTGAAATTCTGAAAAAGCTTCCTGCTAAGTCTTTAATGAAGTTTAAATGCGTTTCGAAATCCTTTTACTCTCTTATATCAGATCCTTTTTTCATTGAATCACATCAAAAAAGTTATATAACTCAATTCTTCGTAAATCGTCCAAGAATGACATATTATAGATTATCAAAAAGTGAAGAACGTGATGAAGACTTAGCTACTTGTCCCCTTGAATACTTAGATCAATCATGTTTTCAAAATCTTAGGTATATGCAATCAACCAATGGCCTAGTTTGTCTATGGAATGATCTTGGAGACATTGCTATTTGCAATCCTTTCATAAAACAACATGTCTTTCTTCCTTGTCAACTACATAAGGGAAGTACGTTTTACGCAATTGGTTTTGATACTACCACCAAAAGACATAAAGTATTCAACGCAGAAATCTTTCGAGGTGGTAAATTGATATGTTCGATTTTCACCATTGGTATAGACAAATCGTGGAGAGAGGTTTCTAGTTACATCAATTTTCGTCCTACGGATGACAATTGTGTTTGTATCGATGGAGTCATTTATTTCGTAAATAATTACATACGTGACATAGTTGCATTCAGTGTTGTTGATGAAAAATTCATTAGAAGAATTCCATTCCCTATTAATGAATGGCCATTGAGGTTGTTCAACTTTACTCCACTATTAGTAGAAACAAAGGGACAAGTTGCAATTTTAGGTCATGTATATTTTAATTTTGGCAAAATTGCTTTATACATTCTCAATGGTACTAGTGAAATTGAGCCATGGGTGAAACATACAATTGAGTTACCATTAGAATTCAAAAAAATAACTCATTCTTTTTGTTTTTTATTAACCACCAATCCAAAAGGAGACATATTGTCAATTCCAGAGATTAAGAATCCACCATTGTTCTTATATGACAATGAAAAGAAAGAATGGAGAATAGTTGCAAGAAATAGAATTTATGGACAAAATTTCCATATTCAAGATGGGGCTCAAATTTACCTAAATCTTGTGGAGAGTATTTGGTCCTTGAAATAATTTCTACGACGAGTCAAGGATTTGCTGGGAGTTTCGAATCAAAGAAGAGGCAGATCAAAATAGTTCCTCTAGTTTAAAATTCTTATGTACTTTTATTTATTTATGTAGAAATAGTATTAGATTACGTATTTCTATTTATTTATGAAGAAAACATATCAATTTTATGTTTTTTTAAAAAATTATTTATGAAGAAAAAGTATCAATTTTATGTACTTTTTTTTAATGATGAAATAGTATTAGACTACGTATTTTTATTTGTTTATGAAGAAAAAGTATCAGTTTACGTAGTTTTGTTTATTTATGAAGAAATAGTATCGTAAATTGTTATACACACCAAAAATTGCTGTACAAATCTCTATCCTAACAAAAAAGAGTCTTGCTAAATCCTATTTTTTTTTTTACCATAATTGAGTTTTTTTTCTAAAAAGGAAAACATAAGGTTTTTATATTTGACTAGTCTTTTTCTTATAGGAAAAAAATATGATTCAATAAATGGAGGTTCATTCCTTCTAACTCCAAATTACTCAAAACAATTCAAAACAACTTCAATTTATATTTATGGCCAAACATAACTTCAAATTATCTTTTCACTTTAAAAATAAAAATTGTTATGCCCTATAGATAATTTCGAATTATTTCATTTCTAGATCACCATTAATGCAAAAAAAAGAAGAAGGTGAAATTACAATACAAGACCCCTTCCCCCACCCCTCCCAATACCCCTACCCCACCCCGTCTCATCTACTAACGGAAATTAACGGATCAAATCACAATCTTTCACTTTCTTATTCTGATCACCTTTGCATGTTTTTATCCTTAATCTTTAATCACTATTCTTAATCTTTTGCTTAATTGCATTCTTCAGCATACATGCATCATGTTTGATCCCTATTAATCTTCTTTTTTTCCCCCTTTTTTGTTGGATCAATTAAACTTCTTTTCTTTTTTCAGATTCTGCAAATCTAAAGGGAATTCTTCCTTTAAATCTAAACTTTATATTTTTTTTCCCAAATTCTTTCCATTTTGATACATCTAAAATTGTTTAACACAACCCCTTTTATACATTTTTTACAAATTTCAAATTTTCAAGAATCCCCTGTTTTTTTATGACTCTGTTTGTTAACAAATGAGATGGTAGAAAGTGATTCAAGTAAAGAAAATATTGAGGAAAGTAGTAAAAGTGACAAATTATGGAGCAAAGATAATTTATCTTCAATTTGTCATAGAGACCCTTCATTTTCTGGTTGGTTTGATGAACATGGCACTCTTCATTCATCTCAATTAGTCAATAGACATAATGGAGATGATTTCGATTTCGAATGTTCAAAGGGGAAAGAAATCAATGTCTCTATTGGTACTGAGACAAATCAACATAGTAGTAGTAGTAGTAGTAGTAACTTTAAGCATAGGATGAGGGGTAGTGGTGGTGGTGGAGATTTTGGTAGTGGAGAAGATAGGTATGTTCCGTTTGACGTGGAGAATGGTTCATCGAGTCATCGAGGATCTATTGATGATGATATCGAATGTGGTGATAGTGATGATGATGATGATGATGATAATCACTCAACTTTCTCGGATTACCATGACTCACCACAGCTAGTTTCAAAGAATGGTGTTGCTGAAATTGATGTGTTGAAGACATTTTTCTTTATACTTGTATGGTATTGTGTCAGCTTGTTCTTGACATTGTAAGTATTGAATTTCGTCGCGTTTTGTCCTTTTTTTCATTGATGTGTATTGAATTATTTGTAGTAATGATTATATATTAGAGATTCGTATGCCAGTAGAAAATGTCGAGAACTTTTTATTTCGTAAAATGTTGGCCTAAGATGAATTGAGATGGGGAACATGACCAATGAGGACTGAGACGTAGTAGTTATTGTTGTTGTTTTTATGTATTGAAGCTTCAGAAATTTTATAGTCATGCTTATACGGTTACTTTAGGTCCTATGCTTTCTAGGCATCATTTCGTCCTATATATTAGAGATTCTTATGCCAGTAGGGAATATAGAGAACTTCTAGTGCTTTTCATTTTTTATTTTTATTTCGTAAAGTGTTGTCCTGAGGTGAATTTAAGTGGGGAACGTGGTCACATATAGACGATCCCAGCTTGTTTTAGACTGAGACGTAATTGTTGTTGTTGTTTATTGAAGCTTAAAGGATGTTTTTGCTCTTCTCATGTGTTGACATGGGTAATAGGTACAATAAGAGTCTTCTTGGGGATAAACTAGGGAAGTTCCCTGCGCCTTTACTGATGAACACTGTGCACTTTGCGATGCAAGCTGTTTTGTCCAAGGCCATTACCGGGTTTTGGCATCAACGATTTCAACCTACAGTGATGATGTCTTGGAGAGACTATTCTTTGAAAGGTAACATTAAGACTAATAATTCCCTTTTTTCTTTGGTTACGATTGAGTAGAAAGCTAAAAGTATTTGAAAGGCATATGATAATATAGAGTAGGAAATATGTGTATAATGTGTATGCACTTGTCCAGTGGATTTATTTACGAAATGTACAAAGACGAGAGTAGGATTATTAAAGAGCTTGAATGTATGTGAATCTTATGAGTTGACAGCTTCAATTAGCTATAACATGTGATGTAGTTAAGCCACATGTTACACTTATTAGCTCATTACTGATATATCGACAATGGTTTCTACCGAACTTTTTTTGTACACAAATAGAGGCAGTTCCTATTATGTATGAGAATCTCGATTTTGTTCAAGTTAGCACAGCTGCTTGAAGTTCAATTTTTAGTTCTTCTTGAGTTCAACATATATAATCTCTTTTGTCTTTCATTTCTAACCTTTATGTAGGAATTTTTTTCCACGATATCTTAATGTCATCTATAAATACTGGCTTTCAATATTATCCTGTTAATTGTTATACTCACTTCTTAACAACTAATACAATAGACGGCCTTCGCCTTTTACAGTTGTACCGACAGCTCTTACAACAGCAATGGATGTGAACCTCAGCAATGCATCCCTTGTTTTCATCTCAGTCACATTTGCCACTATGGTGTGTAACTCTTTCTCCTTAATTTGTTTTCGATCATACAGTTTCTGTCAATACTGATAGACTGCAACTTTCTTCAAAAATTGGGCTCTGAGAAAGCATGCTAGTTAAACTCGCGACCCTAACATTTATCGAGAGCTCTAGTATTTGCATTTATGTACCTTGGAATTTTAGCAGTCACTAGTGACATTCACAAATCTCTGCCACTAAAGTAAGTGTGAGCTTCAAGGGCCACTCAAATAATCGTCTATTATCGATAAGAATAACAGATTTCTTACTTTATTTTCTCCTTCCGTATTCTGGATTCCTAAATGCAATTTATGTCATTGCAGTGTAAATCTGCATCTCCCATCTTTCTCCTATTCTTCGCATTTGCTTTCAGGTACTACTTTTAATTACTGATCTATTATGTTTTATTGTGCTTTTTATTTGGGGGATATCCGGGCCAGAACCATCGTATTTCTACTTGATCCTTTATAATAGATGTACATCCAACAATATTATTCGTCAATGCGACTTTTTTTTTCCATATGAGGACTTAATAGAATGTGATTGTTAATTCGTTATGGACTAAAAACCTGAAAGCGTCTTTGAAATAACTATCTTTGATGAATACGGTACATTTGACGGGGCTCATATCTAAACTAAAAATATATGCCTCAATTATTTGTGGAAGGTTGGAGTCTCCAAGTGTAAAGCTACTGGGAATCATCTTGGTCATTTCTGTTGGGATACTATTAACAGGTATGTTCCATGCTTGCATTTAGTTGTCTTGGTATTGTTTTTCGTATTTTATATTCTCTTATATGCAAAAGTATTCACATTTTTCATCTTCATCTGTCATTTGTAAATCAAATCCATAACCTTCACTTGTGCACCAGATAAAACGTTTACTTTATCGTTCAATATTTTCTTGTTTCTAAATTTGTGATGACCATTTTGATTCTTTATCTTCTTAGGGATTGAATAGCCTTTTTTGTTTAGATACATAATGATGGGGTTGAAGATGCTTGGCTCTGCCGTGAACTGTTGGTTGTTGCTAAAAGATACTTTGAGGCTTTTAGTCAATATCGAATCACATTTTTGGCGTAAACTGTTGCTTTATCTTGAGAAGAGTGTCCTGAGGCTTTTGAGACTCATAAGACTATGTTTGACTAGACTCTTTGATACAAAAATAGCAGCTGACATGATTACGTTAAGTAGAATACTTGATTTAAGAAGAAAGAACAAATAAATACGAATAAATGAACAGAAACTGATGAGGAGTATGTTGGGAAAAGGCAAGCACAAAATAAATGTGCATGACATGGAAATAGCAGAAGAAAACCCAAGTCAAACTTTCCCTTCTATTTGAACCAAGAGAGGACAAAATAATGCAAGAATAAACACTGTTTGGGCAGGCAGCAAACAAATCAACCAAGCAAGAAAATAAATCAACACAAGACACCAAAGTTTAACGTGGAAAACCTCTTTGGTGTGAAGAGTAAAAACCACAAGGCCAAAGCTCCACTATAATCAACAAGAGTTACAAAAGTGTTCTCCAAAATGGCCACCAACAAAGTGCCAAGTAATGAGCAACACAACTACAAGATAGCACCAAAAACTAGAGAAATAAGAGAAGCAAAATCACCAAACCGCAGCTACTGTTCACGAGTTAAAATCTGGAGCTACAAGACTCCAAATCACCCTCTATCAGTTCTCAATCAAAGATTAAGTTGAAAGGAACAAGCTGTCCAAAAATCAGCTCAATCGGACAAGAAGCGAAGCGGGAATCGCAATTTGAAATTGGCTGCTAGGGCTTGTGCGAAAATCTGCACTTTCTCACTTTTCTCTCTATATGGCTGCTCTCTAACTCTTGTGATTCTTCTCAAAATAAGACCTAAAAGAAAGTCTTACATATGCACGATAATATTGGGCTTATGGGTAAAAGTGGGCTAGTCAAATTTGAGCTAAATTTATCCACAAAGGAAAGGAAGACCCAAAACCTTGAACTTTTATTTATCCACATAAAAAGGGAAAAAGGCCCAAAACCCAACAAAGTATACCGACTATAGAAGATAGTGAGGAAGAAATGGATTAAACTTACCCTTAATAATTTCCAATGCCTCACTGTTGCAGCCTATTGGAACTTGGAAGGAACAATACTATAGTCATTAATGCAAGACATAATGGTAAAAAATAGACGTGAAGTATACTGACTTTATTTTCTGATAATGCAGTTGCAAAGGAGACAGAATTTGAGTTTTGGGGATTTGTCTTTGTTATGCTTGCTGCAGTTATGTCTGGATTTCGCTGGACTATGACTCAGATTCTTCTGCAGGTTAGATTTTGTGACACTCGTTGCATTGTTATAATTTATTTCTCGTTCCGTTGTTTTGTCAATAGTATGTTTGCTTACTTTGTGTATTTTTCTGTTTGTTTTCCCATATCCAACTGGTTGTGCTGAACATAAAACTGGCATAAAGAAAGAAGCCTATGGTAAGGACTATGAACTCTTAGCAAATTTTGAACATTCTGGAGATGTTATTATCATCATCATTATTATTAGCAGTCGTAGCAGCAGCGACTGCACCACTACTTAGACTACATCAAATCTGATCATGTTTTAAAAGGGTAGTTCTATGCACGAAGCATCTCACATTCACGCAGGGTCCAAGGTAGGGCCACACCCCAAGAGGGTGTGATGTAGGCAGCTTATCCTGACACAAATGAGTGGTTGATTCCACAGCTCGAACCCTGCTTTGTCTTAATCCTAGTTTTGACCAAATTAATATGTTGAAAGTCGTTGATCCGTTATTTGTTTTATAGTTTGAGAATAAATTGTGTAATGAAATGCATGCTTTGGTTATTGCAGGTTTAAAAAATCCACTCACACTAATGAGCTATGTTACTCCAGTAATGACTCTTTCAACTGCTGTGTTGTCCCTTATTTTTGATCCGTGGCACGAATTCAGACACACCAATTACTTTGATACGTCATGGCATATAGCTAGAAGTTGTTTGTTGATGCTTTTTGGCGGAACTTTGGCTTTCTTTATGGTATGTATGTGTCTAAGCACTGGTATCAGTTCAATTTGTGGATTTTCCATCTCATAGTGAAAATGAAGCCTTCTAATAGGCTTAGTTCATTTAGAGATGATTATCAATTATTAAAGAACTTGGACGTACATACCAATAACTTCTTCATGCTTACCTCAGGTGTTGACGGAATATATTCTTGTGTCTATAACAAGTGCAGTAACAGTGACAATAGCGGGAGTTGTAAAGGAGGCGGTAACTATCTTGGTACGTCGTATAAACCTTGTAGGTTCAACCTTTAAAGTGTCTATCTATGTATTATGTCAAAGCAATTTTATGCACTTTTAAGTCCTATTTTTGCTGGTTGACCTCATATACTGAAGCTTACTTACCTCAAAGATATTGTACTATTCGAACACTGATAGGCTGAGATAGGACGTGGATTGCTTCAATCTTTGAATATTTTTCGATATTTGTCAAATTTCTATGGTCTATGGAGTCCATGTTTTCAACAATTTGTGTAATATAGCTGGTAATTGTGTAATTTGCTGCTCTGTTCAGGTTGCTGTATTTTATTTTCACGACGACTTCACCTGGATGAAAGGTTTCGGTCTCATGACGATAATGTTTGGTGTCAGTTTGTTTAACTGGTACAAGTAAGTGACTGAATCCTCATGTTCTAGCAAGAAGTTATCTCGTAATGTCTCGTTCTGCACTGACATTAAAACTAGATTACTGAACACAATATGTGTGTATTCTGTTTTATGTCATCAAATTATGATCCTCAGTTAGTAGACACCTTAACTTAGCCTCAACTGATCGAAGTAAACACTCCAACTTTGAGAATACGCATCTAGACACCTCAACTCGTCCCCACTGTGTCTCGTGGACACCTGACATTGACATGACAAATAGATTTTGGAGGTGTCTATGTTGATTGTTTTGTAAGTTGGGAGTGTTCAACTGACATAGTGGAAACGAGTTGAGGTGTCTGGATGTGCGTTCTCAAAGTTGGAGTGTTTAAACTGTTCCTAGCACTTTAGTCATCCTTAATCAAAACGACTATATGTTTACTTAAGCTATAGTAGTTCAATCAAATTGTTGATATCGAGCCATTTTTAGTCGAAAATGGGACTTTGGCATGTGTTGAAGTCGTAATTTTTCCAATTTTCATTACTCAGGTATGACAAAATACATAAAGGTAGCACAAGTGAAGATGAAATTGGATCACCATTAAGAAATGCAGCTACCAAGTATGTTATACTTGAAGAAATGGAATATCAAGACCATGGTCCTTGAAGTTTTACATATGACATTCCAACTACGCTGCGCTCTGATGGAGTTCTGTATTTGCAACAGAAGGAAGGGGACGAAAAAATGCGTAGATTTTTTAGCTAATGAAGGTCAATCGTATACATGAGGAGGATTTGTTAATCAAGGAAGATGGAGGAAGTTGAGTTTTTTCACCTAGTAAACTTTGAGACATGTTGCTTATAGAAGGGAAATATATTACTAAAAAAATAAGGCCAAACACATATGCAGACCCTTAAATTTGTCTCTAAATTTCATTTTGACACTCCAACTCAACCTTGTTCCATTTTAACCCTTCAACTCCAATTTTTATATTCCATTTTGGCACTTCTAAGTGATGTGGCAGAGAGTGTGCATCACACATTCTCTAAGAGAGTGAAAGCCCAAAAAAAGTATTTTTAAAAAAAATAATAAAAGATTACCCTTCAACTCTATTTCTTTTATGTACCATTTAACACAAAATACTAATTTTATGATTTCTTTATTTCTATATATGTTATTCAACTGTAATTTTGCATTTTAAAAATCGACGATCATCCGTTAATTAATGTAAAAAATTAAAACTGACGGATTATCATTGTTTTTTTTAATAAAAAAAGTAACAATTTCTTTTTAAGAGTTTTCCTATATTTTTGCGTGAAAAATAACCGACGAAAGTGCGTCGATTTCTTTCTTAAAATAATCAATGACAACTCAACGAAGTCGATCGAGTTTCAACATTTTTTGGTAGTGTTATTAATTAACAATGAACATGAGTTTTTTTTTTTTACTCGTATTTAATTAGTTGAATGAAAAATTAGAAAGCTAATATTTGAGTTAGTCCAAGTAGACTAGATATGAAAAAATATATATGTGATGTTATTTAAATTAACTAATTGTTTTTAAAAAAAAAACCAACACACTTTCGCAGATTATATTTTCACACAATAAAGTACATAAACTCTAAATTATTTTTTTTTAAAAAAAAAACAATGTTCATCCATTATTTTTTAACACAATAATGGCATGTGAAGTACACACATCTCACTTTGTTGGTTCTTTGGAAAGAAGTGCCAAAATGGAAATAAAAATTGGAGTTGAAGGGTTAAAATGGAACAAGGTTGAGTTGGAGTGCCAAAATGAAATTTAGGGACAAGTTTAAGGGTCTGCATATGTGTTTGACCAAAAAATAATGATATACATTTTTATACTTGGTAGAAATTTAACTTTTGAACTTTTCGTTTTACCCCTAAAGTTAGGGAGTGGAAGTTTGGTATTCAGCTCGAGATTTCTAAATTTCGAGTTCGGTGATTAAAAATAGATTCAATTCAGTATGGTATTCAGTAATACCGTATTGAAGTTGTAGTCTATTGTATAACAAAGTTAAGACGTTCACCCACGCGACTAAAATTCTATCCTAGCTAGAACCTTTTTTTTAAGCTTATAATATTAATGTACTCCTACACTTGAATCTGAAATGTCAGATTGGACGTTACAATATACAACTTGAACTCCTTTATTTTGACTATTTTTTAATATTATTTTTCTAGAGATATTGTAGGATTTGAAAATGAATGATCACAAATCTTTCTACTTTTTGTTTGTTAAAATCTTGTCCTTTTTTGACTAAGTTAAAGAAAAAGAGAATTTGGTCTCTTCTTTTGTTTAGATGATAATGTTTGTGGACCTAGCTTGAAATGTGAGATAAAATTATATGAATTGAAGTTTGATTTCGATATGTAATCCGACTGATTTGATGTTATTTTTATTCTTTATTTGATTTCAAGTATGCATAAAAAAAAAATGTAACATATATTTACATCCACACAAATATCTACACACATTTTTAATTTAAGATTAAAAATTTTTAAAAGTCGTCTATACTTTCATAAATTAATATCCCATGAAACTAAGATACACAAACTAAAACTAGCGGAGTAACTTAGTACTAATTCGATTTGCTTCATACATTGTTTTAGTACTAGACATATAAGCTCGTGCTAACACAGACTAAATAACATAGATAGAATTTGAAAAGACAAATGATTATTATTAATTTATGAGACTTTTACTATAAATTTTTTCTATTTTAATTTATGTGATACAAAATAATTTTCGTGTGTATTAGCCCGTGGATCTGGCGCCTCGAAGCACTCAAAAATATTTTCTGAAAAATCTTTATGAGGATCTCTGTAATGAGTTGGGAACCACCACTTATACTTACATTATTTTTTAACGCTTATTTTCGCATTTACTGACCATTTTTTTAGAAATTACGTAAATTCTTCAATTTTTGTGTGTATTAGCCTATGGATCTGGCGCATTGGAGCACCTAATTTTTTTTTTTCTGAAAAAAACTTTATGAGGAATTCTGTAATGAGTTGGAGATCACCACTTATACTCACACCATTTTTAACGACTATTTCCGCATTTATAGATTCTTTTTTAGAAATTATGCAAATTTTTCGATTGTTCGTGTGTATTTGCCCATGAATCTGGCGACTCGGAGCACCAAAAATTGTTTTCTGAAATTTTTTTATGAGGACCTCCGTAATGAGTTAAGGAACCATCACGTATACTCATACAATTTTTTTAGCGCCTATTTCTGCACTTACAGGCCATTTTTTTAGGAATTATGCAAATTACTCGATTTTTCGTGTGTATTAGCTCATGAATATTTTGGTGATATGGCTTTTGGACAAAATTTTTGCAAAACCCTTTATGGAACCCTTCAAAGGGAGTTGGAAGAGCAGTACGTACAATCTTACCATTTTTAGAGTGATTTATGGGCATTAAGGAGTCAATTTACATTAGTTAGGCGATTTTCTCAATTTTTCATGCGTGTTAGCCGATTAATATTTTGGTGATATGACTTACAGATGAATATATTACGAAACCTTTATGGAATTCTCTGTAGGGAGTTGGGGAAGCATTACGTACAGTCTCACCATTTTTAGAGTGAACTTTGGGTATTTAGAGGCCAATTTATAGTAATTATGTGATTTTCCCTATTTTTTGTGTGTTATCCCATGAATAATTTGGTGATATGACTCTGAACGAATTTTTTTCGAACCTTTATGGTACCTTCCGTAGGGAGTTGGTGGAGCAGTACGTACAGTCTCACCATTTTAGAGTGATATGGCGGAGAAATAACTCCTAATAGCCCAAAATATGTCTGAAAAATGACAAGGCTTCACGTATTTCTCTCCCAACTCCCTACAGAGGGTTCCGTAATAAATTTGCACAAAAATCGACCGTCACTCACATCATCAAAATATTCATGGGCTAACTGTGCCAACACAAACCCAATAGCATAGATGGAATTTGGAAAGATAATTATGTTGGGATATTTTCTTTCTGTGGTGCTCGCTGCAGCGTACAATGATGAGCTATATATGTCTCCATCATTTTTATTCTATTTTTCATTTATTTAAAATAATCGTTCAATAGGTAGGATAAGATATGATATATGTTAATTACACTTAAGATAAAATTTATCTCATAAATTGAGATATTTTATGAGATAATTAATTATATTACTATGTAAAAGAATAATTTATTTCATCATTATAAAATATATAATTTCAGAACTAACTAATACTCCTAATTATTTATTCTGTATTTTATCTTAATATTGTTATCTCTTTTTCTTTAAATCCCTTAAGTTTTTCCTCTTCAATTATTAGGGAGCACGTTTAAAAGGCTTGTAAAACATTGTTGTAATTGGTTTGTAGAGTCGGTGAGGAGACAACTAAGCAAATGGAGAAAGCAATGATAAATGTGGGGAAAAAATAAATACTTTTTTCGTTCCATTTTAATTAACACATTTTATTTGATACAGTATTTAAAAAGGAATGAAAAATAAGTACCTACTAGATTATTATGATCGAAATTTTTGAGACACATCTTAACTAAATTAAGATCCTATTACTCTTTAATCGATTTTTTTTTTGTAATTTTGTACACCTTTTGACTTCGTAGCATCCAACATCTCTCACACGCCTACAAGGAGTCACGAAGCATGCCACGTAAATCAATGGATTAGTTCAATTATATATGCATTTATTTGAAGTTTATTCTTCTACCTTCTTGAATAATCTATTTCTACTAATACAACTAAGAATCGTTTGGTAACTGATTAGAACTTTGCAAGTATTAGTATAATGGAGATATTAGTTATTAACTATTCCACCTTCTACCACACATAAAATAAATACACCAATTTTTTCATAACTCATATATACATTATTCTACAAGTTCTAAAATTACAAATCAAACGTCATATTAAGGTATACGCCTCGTACCCCTAATTCTTCTCTCTCTATATACATATATACACCTATTTTTACCACAACTCTTCATTCACATTAAAGCTAGAAATGGCAGAAGAAATGATGAACAACAAACAAATCATTCTAAAACATTATGTGGAAGGTTATCCTAAGGAATCTGATATGGAATTTAAGAATAGTATCATTAAATTGAATGTTCAAGAAGGTTCTAATGTTGTTATTTTGAAGAATCTTTACTTGTCTTGTGACCCTTACATGCGTAACCGTATGAGCAAACTTGAGGGTAGCTATATTCAATCCTTCACTCCTGGTTATGTAAGTATTTCAATAATTTACTACCACACATATGATTATTTAGTTGATAAATATTGTACGTTCAAATTTCGAGAGTCAAAAAATATATTTAATGTGTTTTTATAAGTGAGTGTTTGGATTAACTTATTTTAAACAGTTTTTGGTTTTTAATCTTCTTTTTAAATTTTTTTGAAGGTGTTTGATAAAAAACACCTTTTTAAGACTGAGAAAATACAAAAATAAGTTAAAAGTATGAGTATTCTCAACTCGTGACTTTTAAGTTTTTGCTTATAAGCTACTTAAAACAAAGTCAATCTAAACAACCCGTGATCGTGGATCTGGGGAGGGTGGTAAGTACTGGCTTAATTTCTATCTTGTGGAGGTAGAGAGATTATTTTCAAAAGACTTTCAAAATCAAGTTCGAATTTTGAGAGTCGAACTTGTTAATCTTGATCTGGATTTGAATATAAAATCTTTATTTTTTTATAAATATTTAAGAACAATGTTAAAAGTATTATAAATCATAACAATTGAATATAAAATCTTTAAATAGTGTAGACCTTGATTGTTTCAAATTTAACATTATTGGTGTGTTCAGTATATATACTTTTCAAGAAAATATGTAAGTGATTTTCTTACTTATTTTTTGTCCGCAGCCTATTACAGGATATGGAGTGTCTAAAGTTTTGAAATCTGGTGATTCAAATTTCCAAGAAGGTGACTTAGTTTGGGGAATGACTGGATGGGAGGAATATAGTATTGTAACATCTACTCAAAGTATGTTTAAAATTGATCATGACAAGGATGTGCCTCTTTCCTATTATACAGGAATCCTTGGTGAGTGTTTTCGACTGAGTTAAAGTCTTACATTAGTTGGGGTCTCTAGTTATATGGATTTAAAAAAAATAATTTTCGGGGTTGAGTTAGACCCAAGCGTCATTACTTTACATGATATATATCTATATATGAACCATGTTCATCCCTATTTGGGATCTTGGTCCACGCGCTCCAGTTGGGCTTGGATTTGAAGGGAGTGTTAGAGTCCCATAGTGGTACTACAACAAAAACAACTTTTAGCGGCAATAAATAGACACATTAATAAAGAGTGCTAAAGTCTTTACCGGCATTAGTTAAGTGTCATTAGATCCAATGTCGCTAAACACTTTAGGAACATATACAAAGAGTGCTAATTGCCATTAAAAATACATATTTAGTGGCGATTGAACTATTACCGTTAATTAATTGTCACTAAAGATCGTTTTTGATGTAGTGATGGTTGGTTGGGGAATGGATTGGTAATCTACTTAGACTCGGACATAATTTTCTGCTCTTGCAGGGATGCCTGGGGTGACAGCTTATGCTGGTTTTTATGAGGTTTGCTCCCCTAAGAAGGGTGAAACTGTGTTTGTTTCAGCTGCTTCTGGAGCAGTTGGTCAACTTGTTGGACAATTTGCAAAGATGATAGGTTGTTATGTTGTTGGTAGTGCTGGAAATAAACAAAAGGTAAGTACTTAAACATTTCATTCTTGAATTTTATTAGTGGCTTATAAGTTATCTTACTTATCTTAATCATTGTTAAATAATCTAGCTATCTCATCTATTCATTATTATTATTAAAGGTTGATATGTTGAAGACCAAGTTTGGTTTTGATGAAGCTTTTAACTATAAAGAGGAGCAGGATTTAGATGCAGCTTTGAAGAGGTAAGTAATCTTATAAATTCCCACAAGAAAACACTAATTACTATGGAAAAAAATAGTTTCCAGGATGAAGGTGTTGGCGACACCTTCTTTTTTAATTTTAAGCCATCACCTTAACGATGTGGGAGGTTAGGCTTGACCCCTATCATGTCTATAACATCCAAAAAGTTACAAAAGCAGAGGGAGACATGGACCTAACCTCTTGATAGTGAACAACGAGGATAACTAAGATGACATAGACTTTCATACTATAAGCAAAATACATTGGTTCAACTAACAAAGAAAATTACATTTGTCGTATCTTCTCCTTATTCTAAAGTTGCCACTTATCTAGTAGAAATAGTCCCTTTCACCTTAGAATTAGAATTGTGTGTAGTGGATTGACATTTCGTTTTGGTTAAAATGAATGGGATTAATGATTAATGAAGATTTGAACCACTTTTGTAACATTAAGGGCATATATGAAAAAATATCTAATATAACGCTAAAGGTATATATGAACTGATTGTATAACGGAAAAGCAATACTAGACCTTTAATTTTCGATAATATAGGAGTAAATATGACCTTTTTTCGTATTGGTTTATCTATTAGGTACTTCCCTGATGGAATTGACATATACTTTGAGAATGTTGGAGGTAAAATGCTTGATGCAGTTCTTGTGAATATGAAACTTCATGGTCGTATTGCTGTGTGTGGAATGATTTCACAATACAACCTTGACAAGACTGAAGGAGTGCACAACTTGTTTTGCCTCATCGCGAAACGAATCCGTATGGAAGGATTTCTTGTTTTTGATTACTATCATCTTTATCCTAAGTATTTGGAAATGATCATTCCACAAATAAAGGCTGGTAACATTGTGTATGTGGAAGACATAGCTGAAGGTTTTGAAAGTGCTCCTAGTGCTCTAGTTGGTCTCTTCTCTGGTCTCAATGTTGGAAAGCAAGTTGTGATGATTTCATGTGAATGAATGGATTTGGATCCTTTCCATTTTCTCTCAAGTTTTTACTTGAAAGGAAAGCTATTGTGTCATGGTTTAAATACTTAAATACACAAACATTTCTATCAGGTATTTACTAATTCTCTGTATGGTTTGAAATAATTAGTCATTAATTGATTGTTTCATACTAGATTTCAAGTTAGATATACCAAGGTACATGTATTTTTGCTACTAGATACATTCTGAAATGCAGATACATAGGAAGAAAGCGAGTGAGAGAGGCGAGAGGCAAGCGAAAGAGTTAGTGTATCCCAGATATATGCAAATTACACTAGATACATGTATCTGAGACTAGATACATGTATTTGAGATATCATATACAATTCATAAACATTCTGAAATAAAGATACATAAGGAGAGAGGTGAGCGAGAGAGGCGAGCAAGATAAGAGATATGAGTGAGAGAGTCAGTGTTTCCAGATACATATGAATTACCCTTGAATACAGTATATCATAAATAAATTAGACCTAATTTTAATTCATTTATCCAAGATACATATATTTGGATGTGTCGCATATATGTGTTTGGGAACGGAAATCTGACGCAAACATTAATTTTAAAGACGCACATAATTAGACTCTAAACTAAAGAAATTCTTATTGTTTGCCCTTGAACTTATTTAGGCAAATATGTAACATCCGGCAATATGAAATAATTGAAGAGGCTTAGAATTTGAAATTTTCATTTTTTTGAAAGAATTTAAAGTTTGGAAATTTTGGCTAAGTATGGAAAATGTGAAATTTTGGCCAACTTTGAACAGCCATAAATTCTAGCTCAGGATGAGTTAGGTGGAATTCCAGTTATGGTTGCAAAGTTCGTGGAACGACCTTTCCAACGCCACCGAGTTTGCTCGATTCCGAGTTCGTATGAGGGAGTTATGACCTTTGAAAGTTGGGCAGTTGACAAGGAAATCCGTCCGGGAATCATTAAGGGCATTTTAGTCTTTTCCCTAGCCAATTCTTTTGAGCTCATATTGTTGTATTAGGATGATCTTTGGATCATTTTTGTCCCATTTTTGAAAGAGAAAGAGTTAGGGTTCTTGAGATTGAAGAAGAGAAGAAGGAGAAGAAGAAGAAGAGAAGAAAGAGGAGATTTGTCAAGACCATTGTGGATTTTCGTCGGGGGTGATCCCTATCAAGGTATGTGAGTTTTTCGTGTGGGTTGATCCTTTCCCTCACACACACAAGTTTATTCTATGTTTGAGAAAAGATTGGGAATTGTTGTTGAAGTGTCGAAGTTGTTAGTTGTTGTTGATATTGTTGTTGAGGTTGTTGAAGTTATTGTTCGTTGTGAGCTTGATTGGGTTGTGCATTTAGGTTGAAACCTATTGTAGGTTGAGGGGATTATGATTCTAAGAGCTATGACCCTTTAAAGGTTGATCCACCATCGATTTGCAGAAATTTCTGGGCTGTCGATCCCCATCTACGGGACTGACCTACGAACCGTAGATCGATCGACGGTCCGTACTGGTCAACCGTCAATCGGAACAGAAGTTGGTTTTTGGGGCATCGATCTACGGTCACGACCTACGGTCCGTGGCCTGACCTACGGACCGTAAGTCAGGACCGTAGGTCAACACTTAGTCTTTTTCTTAAATGAATTCTGGGGAAAATCTCTGACGCAATCTACGGACCTGCAGTACGGACCGTAAGTCCATCTACGGTCCGTCGATGGCGACCGTAAGTCCCATCTGTGTCACCAGAAATCTGAAGTCTCAGCCAAGTTTCCCCTCTTCTTTTCTCACTTTCTCATGCATGTTCCAAAGTAATTCACCTATGTTTTATAGTTGTTTTCGACGTTCCAAAGTGCGTCTAAGCGTTCAAGAATCCTTCCATAACATGTGATCGAACACCTTGAATTCATAATTCCGATTCAAGGAAAGATAGTTCCAAGTCAAGTGAAGTTTCAAGTCGAGTAAGAGTCTTAGTTTCAAGCTAAGTCATGAGTTTAAAGTTGAATTCTCTTCTAAAAAAAAAAGAGAAAGCTATTAGGGAACTAAGTATTCCCAAAGGAGGTTGTAAATGCTATTATATTTGAATAAGAAGGGAATCATGTTTTCTTTCCCCAAAGGAGCCTTTGGGCTAAAGTTTTGAGTAATTATCTCAATCAAAGAAAGAAGTTATTTTAAAAGCATGAGCCAAAGTATTTTTTGGGAGTAGTATTGAGCACCGAATTGGGGGCACGAGTTCATATTAACTCAACTCTCCATAAGAACCATGTGCCAACATGGGACTTGTCGTATCATTCTTTTTAGATGATCACGCAAGATTAGGCTAGTGGATCCACTAAGCAAAAGTAAGGTCCTATATCGATGGCAAGGTATAGGATGGTCCTTTGGCAACGTGAGGTAAAACGTTGTATCATCACTAAGGCTCGTAGTGGTGGTTGTCGGTTAAAGAACCTCCCACAAAAGCTGTATTAAGTTTATAAAAGAAAAGTGGAGTTTGTTGTCATTTTATCCTTAACGATCTAAGTTGTTTACATTCTTTTACAAGCTTTATATGTGTGGCTCGTGTCTTATTGCTTTACTTTGAGTCCAGTTATGTATATGAGTCGTTCAGAGTCAAGGTAAGTGATCTCTTGTTCTCCTTTCAAGCTTAAGTTGTGGTTCAGCTTTTCCAGCTCACATATTCGTACATTCCATGTACTGACGCCAGTTGGCCTGCATCGTCTTATGATGCAGATACAGGTACCCCGGATCAACATCCTGCACGTCGTTGATCCAGCTGAGCACTCCAGAGTCTGTGGTGAGCCTCCTTGCATTCCGGAGGACTCAATTATTTTGTGTACTTAGTTTTGTTCTATTAGGATGTTGCGGGGTCTGTCCCCACATCCATCTCAGTATATTAGAGGCTTCAATAGACAGTCAGACAGCCAGTCAGTCAGTTAGTTTTGAGTCTCTCATCCATGTATATGTATATATATATATTATGTAAATATTCTATTTTTGAGGCTCGAGTTGCCCTTTGGGCCATATTTTATTAGTTAAATTGTTTATGTCTTTGCATGACGTTGAGTTATTTTTGTTGAGTTAGGTTTCCGTTGAGTTAAGAAAGCCAGGCCAAGGGTTCGCCTGGGGCCAGCAATGGTCTCCAGGTGCCGGTCCCGCCCAGGGTGTAGGCTCGGGGCGTGACAAAATAAAAGGTCGAAAGAGATTTAAGATTGCGAGATTAATAATAATTTATAAAATTAAATATATTATGTAGTAATTATCTAAATCATAAAACAGATTTATTTTGATTAACTAAATCTTAGTAATTAAATTTTACTTATATCAATTTAGGAAAAATAAAATGAAGAGGAGCCGGATCCAGATATATTCTTGGACAACTCTTGATTCACATAAATTGAAGTGAGAAATTGCAGAGGAAGTGATGAACAACAAACAGATCATTCTAAAACATTATGTGGAAGGTTATCCTAAGGAATCTGATATGGAATTTAAGAATAACAACATTAAATTGAAACAATTTACAAGTGAGTTTAAATTTCCCATGTAATTGTGTAGATCTTGGATGTTTTTTTATTTAACATTATATAGGGGTGTTTGGTAATGATGAGTGTATTTTCTTAGAAAATGAATGAGTTTCATATTTATTTTCTTATATTTAATACGCGTAAGTAAAAAATATTTGTGTATAATCTAGATAAATACTATGTGAGGTAGGCGTGTGGGATATATATTGCTTTCCGGTGGGGATGAGAGTTTAGATAAAGTGTGTTAGAGAACGGGAGGAGGACACAATTGAAGTGGAATTTCATTTGTAAAACTTATTTCCCTACCTCCAAGATAACTTTTACGATACGAACGTGAAAAAATTACTGGGCATACGAGTTTGATACCTTCGTATCCGAGTTCTCAAAATCTCACTCAAAAGGTGTTGAGTTGGAATCCCATTCTAACTAAGGATTCTTGTGGTTCCGGAGGATCCAACTACATGAGAACCAGGAATGGAAGGCTTCTCCCCCCCCCCCCTTCCGCCTGACTCTTTGGTCTTAAGAACGTTGGTTTTAAGAATGAGTCTTTGCCTTTCTCCGACCCTGACTGCCCAACCTTAGAGGGGACAGCTAATGCGTTCCACTTGTTGAACAGGATTCTATGGTCGGTTTGTGACCCCTGGATGCCGAAGCCATCCTTGGGGTGATCTCACAGTTCCTACGGGGTGGAGATGATGGGATCGGTCCATGGATTTTCCTTCCTTTTCTTTTGTTGCATTTCACTCAAAGGGTTGAATGGAGATAGTGCATCAAGCTGTTCGCTAGGGCCAACTTGATCCTATTCCCCAGAGATCTCAGATGAGAGATATCTGGGAGAGAAAAATGTTTCCTCCGCGCACCCTTTTTCATTTTTCATATCTTGATAATGTTTCTCATAAGTACTTTTCTTTTCTGTTATATTATAGCCTATCACAGGATGTGGAGTGGCTAAAGTTTTGAAGTCTGGTGATTCAAATTTCCAAGAAGGGGTAGTGGTGATTTTGGTAGTGGAGAAGATAGGTATGTTTCATTTGAGGTAGAGAATGGTTCATCGAGTCATCGAGGATCTATCGATGATGATATTGAATGTGGTGATAGTGATGATGATGATGATGATAATCGCTCAGCTTTCTCGGATTATCATGACTCACCACAGCTAGTTTCAAAGAATGGTGTTGCTGAAATTGATGTGTTGAAGACATTTTTCTTTATACTTGTATGGTTTTGTGTCAGCTTGTTCTTGACATTGTAAGTATTGAATTTCATTGCGTTTTGTCCTTTTTTTCATTGATGTGTATTGAATTATTTGTAGTAATGATTATATATTAGAGATTCATATGCCACTAGAAAATGTGGATAACTTTTCTATTTTATTTCGTAAAATGTTGGCCTAAGATGAATTGAGATGGGGAACATGACCAATGAAGACTGAGACGTATTAGTTATTGTTGTTGCTGTATATTGAAGCTTTAGAAATATTTTTCTCATGTTCATACGTTTACTTCAGGCCGATGCTTTCTAGGAGTTTTGTAGGACTATATGATAGAGTTTCTTATGCCAGTAGGAAATATAGAGAACTTCTAGTACTTTTCATG